CTGCTCTCCATAATTGATATAAGGCTAACCTGCTGACTAGACCCCGTACTTCCTGCCTCTCTGCATTTCACCTTGGTATTTTCCTAGGATGCAACAGATAGTGAAAACTTTCATTAGAAGCAGCAGCTCATTGCTGATAACCTGACGTTGCTGCTGCAGTGCCACAGAGAGCTCGGCACTGCAGAAGGTCAAAGATCTCACTTCCTGGTCCAGACCATTTCTTGCAGTCCCCTTGGTGCCATGCATAGGAGTCACTGGGGCAAGGGTGTAACCTTTTTCTGTGTCTTGCTTGGTCCCTTCATAAATCAGGGCTGTGATGGTCCTTATATACCGTGGCAAGCTCGTGTGTTTGTGCTGGCTTCTGCAACACTCAGGAATTTCCAAGTTATTTTGGAGTTAGTTAGGCCTACCATATAGGACATGGGACTGCATGTAGAAAGGAGAGACACTGGGCTTTGTTTCTGCGTGTGTGACATGAGGCAACCCCCACTCTGTGCATCTCTTCCTGGTCCCACCCTATGCCCATTCTCTCCACTGGAGCTCTGATCTCTTTTTTAGGCATGGGTTGTTCCTCCCTCTTTGTTTGCAAAGTTTCTGGCACAGTTTGGCCCTGGTTTCAGCTGAGTCTGTATGCAGTGCTGCAATACCGATGCTGCAATAATAATTCTTCTTGTGATTGCAAAAGTTTTTTTTTTTATTTGAGTCAGACCTGCTAGTGGGAAAACTAACTTAGTTCAGGGTTTTACAGATTGATGTTTGAGTATGTGGGCATGCACATATATATGTAAATATCAGCAAGTGTATTTATTACAGCAACATTTAAAATAGGAAGGGAGTCGGCACGTGTAGTCAGATTCATCAAAGATATAGCAACACACTTGGCTATTTATGCCTCAGTTTTGAATAAGTAGTAGATGCTCATATGCATTATTAACCAGAAGTAGGAATCGGGGTAGTTCTAAAGATCACTAATCAAAAGGATATAGGTGATATGTTGGTGACTAATGGATATGGCTGTTTATTTTTATTTCCCAATTAGGTCCGTTAAAAATTGTTCTTAATGGCATTTGCAAGCAATCTTGGCATGCTCAGGAGTCCTCTGGCTTTCAACCTCTTATTCTGCAGTCTATGTGCTTGAAGATATAATATTTGCCACGAGTAGCTGCGACATGCTGTATCATGTTTTAAAAGCTTAACTGTGTCATAGTTAATTGAGAGACAGAATCTAATGGAAGATTTCTATGTCTGTCACAGCAGGGGACACTTTCTCTCACTGCTCCATTGTGGCTGTAAGGGGATTGTGCTTCTGGAGGTACCAGCATGTGGATAAGTGGTACAGCTATCTCATGGATGGACCTAGAGTTTTGAAAAGGAGGGTGTGGATGATGTGGTGCATCTTCTCATATAACACAGCCCACATTTTCCTCCCGTTAAAATAAATTACCTGCTTTACTAATATGCTACGGGCTTAGAACTATATTATCCTATTTAAAATTGAAGAAAAAGCAAATGCAACTTTTTTGGAATTTGCATTAATTTGCTGTTACATATTGAAAAACAAACTAGGCACAAAAAAAATCAAAATGTTTCATTAGTCCTGTAGTCATTAGAGTTAAATGTACGTCTTTTTCAGATTCGTGAAACAAAGTCTAGGCTTCTTGAGTATCTTGGCAATGCATCCGGTGCTTCACTGAAAGTTATTTCCATACCCGAGTTGGTATTTACTTGAGATAATGTTTTTAGCTACAGTTAAAAATAATCTTCAGGGCTGTGAAATAGGAGCTAAATTACCAGGAGCAGCTATCAGGCAGCAGAACTGTCAAAGAAAGGATAGCTTGATTGAACATCAAGATTATTAAAAAGGAGTGAAGTTTGTTAATACTGTGGAAAGTGTTTCAAAGCAATCGAGTAGATTAAAATGAGCCATGCAGTCAGTTGACTCCCTCAGCCCTGCCTGAATAAAAATGCCACCGCCCCTCCCAGGCAATTGGTGTCAAAGTTTGGGTGCAGCAGAAATCAAAACAGGGTGCAGCAGCACCGTGGCACCCGCCTGTCTCTGCCCCTGAACTGTGGTCCTGCTCTTTAGTGCTATCCCCTCTATTCACTGGAAAGTAGCTGAGAGTTATAGTGAGCAGCATTTAGGGCTTAAGCCAGGGGAATGATGGGGGCAGATCCAGGGAGGAGGTGCAGTGATGAAGTTACAGCCCCCTTTGATTCCTGGCTCATTATCATCCCCCTGATTCCTGCTGATGTCTCTGCATTCAATAGGTGTTAACAACCCTCTCTCCTTTTTAATGGCCTTCATGGTCCACTATTCAAACTGTCCTTTCTTCTGCAATGTTGCTGTCTGTTAGCAGTTCTTGGTGCTGTCTCTCTTTATTTCACAGCCCTGCAGACCTTTTTTTAGCTCTAGCTAAAAATCTTAACTCGGATGTAGTAATATTTACTCAGGGGTAGAAATGACTGACAGTGGAAGTGTTGGAGACACTATCAGAAATCTCAAGAAGGCTAGATTTTGTTTTATGCACCTGCATGAGAGACTTGCATTCAACTATGATGACTAAAAGTCTAGTGGCACAATATCTTTTGAATCTTGTCTCTTTTTTGCCTTGTTTGTTGTGCATGCTTTTACATTTATAATCTAGCAAACAAGTGCACATTCCAGTAGTTGCATTTGTTTTCGCTTTGATCTTAACTTAAATACAATGCCAGTTTCCTAGCATATTAGCAATGCATGTAGTTTCTCTTTAACTGGAGACAAAATATGCGTTTTGTTGTATATGATGATGTGCTACACCATCTGCACCCCCCTTCTCTAAATCCTGGATCTTCCCATGGGAGTGGTTCATGTGCTTAAAATCAGTGGTTCTCAACTAGGGTGTCTCCAGATGCAAAGTATGAGGAGATGAACTAAGTAGATTAGCCAAACTTGGGTTTGTCCATCCTGGATGATCCCACACCCATGCTGTCCAGCTCCCTCGTCTCCCCCTCACGGAGGGAGATCATGCTGGTGGGTGCTGCTCCTTGGTGATTAATTTGCTCATCTTTAAACTGAGGACTGCACACCCTCACCGCACAGAAGAGCTCCAAATAATTACCTTTGGGGAGTTTGTTCTCCCTGCAAAAGCTTATTTTGCTTCCTTTTGAGCAGAGTAGTCCATGAAACATCCCCCAAAGTGTAGGGGCTCTTGCTGGAACCACAATTCAAAGGGCTGTGAGTAGTTTGGTACATCTCTGACAGTAACAAGTATGTTGTGTTTTTCTTTCCCCAGCACTAAATAAGTTACGTTTTGCATTTCAGGTTGTAGAAGAATCTCGTCTAACGGGGAGGAGAGGACGTGAGCAATTGGTAAATCACCTCTACAGGCCCTTTTAGGTAAGGGGGAAGGATCTTGTTGACAGTTGGCGATTGTGATCTGGGAGGGAAGTCCTGGACCTTGCAAAGGCTGGAACACCTTGCATGGTTTCCATGGTGGATGGCATTGTTTCTGGTTCTTCATCACTGATAATTTTAGAAACTGCTCTCTCTCTTGGGTTCATAGTCGGCTAAATGGGGTTTGGATCTTGCAAGATATCAGTCTGCTTTTCCTTTCCAAGCCTTCCAGGAAGACACTCCATTCATTATTTGCATCCTGTCTTCAAACTGCCAGGTCATGTTAATTTAAAGGCGTTAGGCAGTGTCTGCACTAATGTGATCTGAAACATAGGCAACCGTCGATCCTTCTGGATCATGGTATATGCCTGGGTGTTCACCAGGACCTTTGGCACATGTGCCTATGGAGGAGTGGAGGCTGCCCAGACCTTTCATCCCCACCTTTTTTGATCATTGAGACAGAATCCAGAGGTCAGACTGAGTTGGGACATTTGGTCCCTTGATGGCTATAGTTATACACGTGTCCGGAAATACCCAGCTCTCTCACATGGCAGGCAGGGATTCTACCACTGAACCACAATAGCCGGTGGTGATTTGAAATACTGCCTACCTAACTGTTTTAACAAGACACCTATTTACTTACTCAAGCATAGATGAGGGTGTGGCTGGTCTCCCACTTCTGCATCCTTGGTTTTTGTATCAACGGAGATCGAACGCTTCCTCCTACAGGTAGGTTTGGTGAGCTGCCCATAGATCATACATACCCTGCCCTTGCTTGTCACAGGTTTCATTGCGGACTTGATTAACTAGAGTGACTTCAAGAGTGACTTTATAGATGCGCATTTCCAAATACGTGGAGGGATTTGTAGTTGTTGTTAGTATGCTAGGCACTAGCAGTCTTTAGGGTGTCCCTGGAAGGGGCGAATTAGGGTGACTGCCCTGGGTCCCACAGTTTGGGGGGCCGTGCAGAGCTGAGCGGAGCAGCTGCGGTGACTCTGTACCGCCACCACTTGCTTTGAGTCTAAACACTTGCTGCCCCTGTCGCCACCACTGCCAGTGGTGGTGGCAGCTTCTTTGGGTCTGGGGCAGGGCCAGGCATGGGCTGATTTGCCCCAGGCCCCACACCCTGCTCAGGTTGGCTCTGGCAGTCTTATTACCACCCACTCCCAGCTCTGGATGTATATTGCTGATGCAGTATTTCTGTAGAGGCCAGTGTTTTGAAACTTGATTGCTTAAAGTTGGGTACCTGAAGTCCATGTTAGGTGCCTAAGGTCAAGCGAAGTCACCCAAGCTGACAAGAGTGCTGCGTGTTCAGTATCTCTGAGAATGTACAATTTGGGGCTCACTCTTGCACTTGTTGTCTTGCGGAAAGACACTCCTAGTCTTGTTGCCATGTGCAAAGTTTTGGCAATGTGGGCATAGCTCACCAGGCTGAAATGCAAGGTGGAACGTGAACAATGGTTTGTGCATAACATCTTCTGAGGCATGCCAGGATTTACAACTGTGGCACTGGCTGTCTCTCTGCCATTGTATTTGCCAGGTCCATACCACCGAGGTTGGCTGTACAGGCAGTCCTCGACTTGCAACATTTCGAGTTGCAAGGAACGGCACTTACAACGTGCATAAATTGATGCCCTGTTTCGACTTGACGATGCTTGATCCAACGCGATGCTTGATCCGTTCTCATCTCTCTGGAGAACATCTGTCCAAACTTCCTTGGACACTTTTTCTTTCAGACAAGACTCCACAAAAACCTGCAGCCAAGACCTCCTGAGAAGATTCCAGCCAAGAGCCCTTCAAAAAGTTCAGCAAAGTCAACTGAAAGTTGTCCTTCCAAGTCAATATGATTGCTATTTACAGTATAAATACATTATGTAGCTATATTACTCATCTATAATTGAGTACAAAATTCTGGGTTATTTTTGGTGAAAATAGGGGGTCGGGCCTTGGTTCAGGAACCAATCCCCCATTTATAACATTGTTTCCTATGGGAAAGTTGGTTCCGAGTAGCAACGTTTCAACTTAAGATGTGGTTTTCAGGAACCAGTTGTGTCATAAGTCCGAGGACTGCCTGTATTTTGGGGGCCCCTGTAGTGTCCCAGTTACTCTCCTGGGAATTGGATGAGAGTGCCCGAGTTACCTCCCTGAGGATGTGCCATCTGTTTCACCAGCAGATTTCACAAGTGACTAGCTCTGTTCTCGGCCAAGAGAGCAGAAGCAAAGCTCCATTCACCGTGCACATAACTTTTCCTATAATCGCTCTTCTGTTCTCCCTCGCTTGAATCATTCCTTAACATGGAGTTGTAGGAGTCAGCCACTGATTTACATGGATGCCTTTTTCATTAAGTTGCTTGTGATAGTGGCTGTGTTTTTCAGCCCGAGCTCCCATAACTTCGGCATTGGCAGTGGGGAGAGCAGAGTTTTGAATGGCTGGTTTTGCGATCTGAAACTGGGCATAATTTTATTGTAAATTATTTATTCACTTTTCTGACTGAAGAGTTTGTGCTCTGAAAAAAAAAATAGTGTTCTGCTGCCCTCAGTTTGGAGCCTTTTACCTTTTTTTCCTTAGAAAAAGTGTGTGGATGTGAGTGTGGTATGTGTGCATACTTTTGCTTTTCTTTTCCTGTTAAAGAGTGTGTGCATGTGTGTGTGTTTGCTTCAGTTTGTGGGTTCAACTTGGCTTGTTGCAGCTTCACAGCAGAGACATCTTTGACTCCTACCCTGGTATGTTGGGCTGTTTTAAAAATTGAACACTTACAGACGTGGAAACGTTAGCCGTATGGTTTTTTCTGTCCCATTTAAGGGAAGTTGAGACTCATACCTTCTATGTGGACAGATAATTTCAATCTCCAGGGCTGTGCTAACACCAAGGTTACCTAAAAAATGAGATGTAGGAGACATTGGTATTCTGATGTGGTTTGTTTAGGTCTCAGAGTGAAAGGGCAGGCCCTTTTAAAGGGTATCATCACGTTATAAACCCTGTTGCGTTCTTGTTTCATTAGGAGCTACATCTGAAGAGGAGATCTACTTGATGGTGGTTTTTTCTGTCGGGTCTCTAACTTTCTGGTTCTGTGACTTGGTTTGAGACGTGATTTCCTTTGCGTGCTGGAGACTGGCCTTGAGTGGAGAACTGGGCACGGTTGAATGTGGCCTCGAGGAGTTATATAACCTGTGAGGTTAAACACTACTTTGCATTCTCTGTAGATGAGCACATTGCTTTTAATACAGGGTAAATTATTAATTTTCTCCCGCTCTTAAAAAAAATTAAAATACCTTATTCAGGAAGGTGTTGGACTCCCCACCTCTTGGTGTCTTTAAACCCTTATACTGTAGTTTCACCAGCACTTACAGGCTTACATCACTAGTCTGAATTTTGTGGCTTGGATTATACAGCAGATCATATTAGATAATTGCAGTGGTCTCCTCTGGTCTAAAAAGCCTATGGGGGGTGTCTATGGAGCTTGGATTGTGTGAAGGATTACTTGCTACCATCTGATGTGCTGATACGTACAGGCAGAGGCTGTCACATTTGTCGCAGTCACGTAGCATCCCATGTGCTGAGCCGTGCGGCTTACCCACCCCAATCTGTTCCCATTTCTGTGGTATCCGATCACATGTGGATTTACTGGAACGTGGATACTTTGCAGGGTTAGGTTTCTTCCTGGCCTGCACAAAGCAGGCCTTGTGAACAATGTGGGAGTTGTATGTAGCTGCTACGAACTGGGACTGACTGGATGCACCAGCTGTTTGCTATGGCGTTTACCTCTCCAAGCAGCTGTGTGAGACTGCTGGGGTGCTCCAGCGGATCAGGAGAGCAGAGCCCTTGGGAGTAAAAGCTGTAGCAGAGAGCTGAGCATCTGGTTTTCCATTTGCCAATGTGCTGAAATTTAAGCACGTTGTGAACCATCTAGGTATGACTGGGGGCTGGAGTAGATGACCGCTGGGGGTTCTTCCCAGCCCCACTTCTCTCTGATTCTGCAAAAAGTACCAGGGCTTGCAGCTTGCACGGTGCTGATGTACTCATGGTGGAAGCCGTGGTCTAGCTTCATCCAGCCGTTCACCATCCAGCGGCCACAGGACGTTGCAGATTTGCTGTTTGGAATGGGGGAGATGTTGCTCAAAGCCAAAAGGGCCAGGGTTTGCTTTCTGGCCATCACCGGACAGCCTTGCAGGAGGCAGTGGGCTTGACCTCCTGGCTGTTGCATGTCTTGGGGACGTATGTGCTTTAGAGCTTTGTCCTCCCTGCATCAGTCTGGGATGTCTGCCTGCTTAAAAACGCCTCTCGGAGCAAAATAAGGGTGAAAAGAATCAAGGCCGATCTCCGCTGAGGGCAGGGCTTCTGAATCTACACAACTGGCAAAATAATACATTCTAGTTGACAGTGTCCCGCTGAAATCCTACTGAGTCAGGTGTAGCTCTCCAAACTGCTGTCCTCATCCCACACAGCATCAGCACTGAGTAACCCCTAATAAACTGAGCATCGCTCTGCTTTGCAGGGGGACTGTAATGTTCTTCCACAGCTGAAGTGGACTGCACTTAACCTGTCGATAAGCTTCAGGGTTTGTTTCTGTAACTATGATATGTAGCCTGATGGAATAGTTTTCTGCTTGCTTCTGTTCTGACTGCTCGTTCCTCTTTGATGCTGAAGCATGCTGGCTCACAGTTCGTGCTTACTGCAGCATGCTAAAAATGTTGATGTTTTACAGAGCAGGATGAAGAAAATGGTAGAGATAACATCCCCGCATTGCCTCTCACCTCTTCGAAGCATGTTTCATGCTAGATCTTGTCATGATTGGGGGATGCTGGTAGGGGATATCTCTCAATAATTTCTCTTTCCTTAGGATCTCAGGTCTTTACATGCACTGGGGAAATAAAACTTATTTTGCCCTGCTTACTTGGTAGATGGAAAAATCTGAATTTTATAGAAAGGGTAGATGCCTTGGCCAGACTCCTACAGCGCAATCACCACACTTCCTTATTGTCATCATCCTGCCCATTGCTGA